ATGATGACATTTTGCAATTATATGAAAGTACATTTTAATTTTCATACATTTTACTTTTCATCAAGGTTATTTAGAAAATTGCCATTAAAAATATTTTTTACAATAGTTTTTATAAAATCTGCTGTGAATTTTTTTTTTATAGTGGTTTTTTAAAAACCTGCCTTAAAAAGGCTATCAAAATTTTAAAATATTTCCATCATGTGATAGTTTTTCACTTTTCACAGTTAAAACTCATGGTTCCCCCTATCGTTCTCACTCGATTTTCTCCCTCCTCCCACCTTTACCAACATTTCCCCTTGCTTTTGTGATCTCCGCCATGTTCTTCTGTTGTCGTCGCGTCATCTTCTTCATCCTTATTTGTTAGTTTTTTGCCTTTTTTCTCCATTCTTTTCATAGGTTTCATCGTTTTTGTGGTTTGATTATTTGAAAAGAACATGATATTTGTTTTGAGTTTGAATATATCTATTTTTTTTGTTAGTCTCTTTGCTTAAACATACTTCGATACATTGAAGTTTGAGTATATATCTAATTTTTATTCCTCTGATTTTGTAGATTTGAGTTTGACAGCTATAAATTTATGAGTTTTATCAGATTTGGGTATTCGATTTAACCTTCATCAAATCTTAGTGGTTTCAAACTAATGGTTAAAAGCTTTGATGTTCTCCTGGTAGAGAACGGCTTTAGGTGTCAAGCGAAGGGAGAGGATGAGAATTTAATAAATAATAAATAAACTTTTCACAACAGTTACTTATATAACCTCCATGAAAAGTCACATACCATGGCGGTTACTAAACCACCATAAAATCCTCTACATTTTAATGTCGATGGTATAAATGTCACACTCAAAACCGCCATGAAAATCTTATTTTAATTGCCATTAAATGCCTCTTTTGTGGTAGTGGCGACGTCTCACTATACAAGAGCAACCAAGAGAGAATATTGGAAGGCAAAATGGAGAGATATGGTGAAAGTGGATCCACTTGTTTAATACCATTTGATAGAAAAGATTGGTTGGGTGAATATGCCGTTAAACAAAATACTATTATATATATTGAATTGTAGATGCACATTGTATAATAAGTAGGATCCACTTTAAGGGAAACACATTCTAATTAGAACGGTTCAACAAAATCCAAGAAAGCCTATCATAAGCCTTTGAGGAATCCAACTTCAGTATAACATCTTTCTTCCTTTCTTTGCTAGCATTGTCAATCTGATGGATAAGGTTTGCCACCATCAAAATGTTGTTGGAGATTAATCTATCTTTAAGAAATGCACTCTGGAAAGGAGAGATCAGCTTTGGAACAACTACCTTCAATATGTTACATAAAACTTTAGAAAATATTTGGTGTATGAGACGCTGCAAAGGAATAGGCACATGAAATATTTTTTTTTTTTAATGAAAACTCCTCACGTACGTACACTCAACATAATCCATAATGTCCTTGTTTATAAATATAGGATTTAATTAGAGGGTTTATTTTTATTTTGAATACAATACATTAATGTATTTTATCTTCTAAATCTGTAATTTCTTTTTCTCAAACAATTCCTACACAGTGTTCCCATTGTTTATAAACATAGGAGTTAATTAAAGGGGTTTATTTTTATTTTTAAATACAAGACATTAATTTACTTTATCTTCCAAATTTTTAACTTTTTTTAAAACAATTCCTATTGAATGCATCACTACAAAAAAACAACTACTTATATAAGGGTATTATATTTAAGACCAGAAGAGTATTATGTGTAACACACGAGGCCTTTTTTTTTTTTTTCCTTTTAGCAGCAGTGTGTCGTTTAAACTGTCAATTGTTTGCCGGTAGATTTTGGCATCCGGTGCATCACACAGGGTTTTTACGTCTAATTGAGCTGTAAAAACTCATGTTACAAGTTTTTAAAAACACCTACAAATTTCACTAATTAAATTTTCTTTTTTTTGTGGTAAATTTAAGACAACATCTGAAATTAGCGAAAGAAAAATTTGTTATTAATTAAGGAAAAACTCAGTTGCAAAGCTATTTTAAAACAAATCAAAAGGTAGTCACAGTTTTATCATTATTTTTATATGCGATGGAAATTTTCCTGGTGCGGTTTTCTATTTTACTTCTTGGGTTGTAAGAGTAACTTAAACAATGTCGTGAGATGTACCCTTTTAAACGTTAATCAAGGTGAGAGCCAAAATCACCACGTCTGAGATAAAAGTAACGTTCGAGAGAGGTCATATGTTAACCCAATCAGTAATGTGATGATCTTGAATATATATCTAATTTTATTTTATTATTAATTTTTCTGAGTGGTCAGGTAGCTGGGTCATATTTTCGTATTGTCAGTTTGGGCCCCATTTCAAGCACATTTAAACTGGAGACCTCATGTTTAAGCAAACCAATACATGTCGGTTTCCCAATTTTCCCTTCTTATGCATCTCACTAATATGTGATTTATTATAAAATTTATATTTACTAGCTAAAAAGGCTCTCATCATGTGTTTCATGGAGTTTTAAGAAATACAACCATATGCCTTTAGATTTACCTAAAATCTTTGAAGGTGATGGTTTTTTTTGTTGGCGACACCCGCAAAAATAACAAAAAATATAGTTCGAGTTGTGTCCAAGAACATTTTTCTTAGGAGCCATTTCGCCACACAGGTAAGAATAAAAAGCAGCACTCTCTAGGATTAAACGATCCCTTCTTGCGTAGAGTAGGGTGACAGAATAGCAAAAATTTAAAACTCAGGAGAAGAGAGAGAGAGAGAGGAGGAGAGCTTGGGGATAAAACTCGACGTCCCTGATCATGCATCACGCATTACCTTTTATAGGCAAATGATATGTGACTGTTGGACTGCCATAATAGTGATTAAAGGTGGTTTTAATGACAATTAAAAAGACAGTTTTAAAATAATTAATTAAGATGAATTAAAACATTTTAAGACCATTAAATATGGTTAATGTAAGAATAAAACCAATTAATTAAAACATATAATGTTTCAACGATCATCTCCAATGGTCAGTTCTAAAAACTTCTCTTCTCAGCCATTTTATTAGCTCAAGCCACATCTTAGTAAACACTAAGGTTTTCTTAATGTTGAGTAACATGAGGCTTCTTTTGACACACCTATACACTAAAACTCCAACATTTTTTCCTATCCTTATTTTAAAATCGATGTGGTTATAAAAAGAAAATACGATTCTCTTAATGAGTTGATGGCATTATTTAAATGTATCTGTTTCATTGACAAGGAGGAAATTCGATTTAATTAATATATTCCACAGCTTCTCCTGGTTTTAAACGAGGCTCATATATTATGCAAAAGAAACTCATTCTTTATGGCTCCCACAATTTATCTCTAAAATTTACAACATATATAAATTTTTTTAAAAAGAAAATTCAACCGCAAATTAATGAAATTTCCAATCCCGTTATATTCACTACCAAAAAGAATGTTACGACACAAATCAAGAAAAACATATTGCAACTTGATTTTGTGATTGTTTCATCAAAAATAAAGGCGCTGCAAAAAAATTTTTGCAATGTAATTTGCCGCAAATTCTTTTATTTGATTAGCATTGGCTGGTACTATATGATTTCTATTATGGCCCATTGACATGTAACGTGTTCGTCGTAATTCACGTGCGCATTATATTTATTAAGGATTCAAGTTTACAACGCCATGCTTAAAAAATTTGGAGGAGCTGGGCGCCTCTACCAATTTTTTGGGACTAGTTTATCATTTAAATTTGATTTTTTTTTTTTTAGGTTGCGAAGAGTCCAAATAGAACAGATCATGCATGAGGGTGATCTGAGTGTCTGGCAAAATTAGCAAATAACTAGGTCACTTAGACACAATGTCAGAGATTTGATGTCTGGTTATATTTCGGAAAAATGTAATGTTTCTACCAACAAAAAAAAACTCTATCCAATCTGATACATAAGATACAAATAACCAAATTGTATAAATAAAAAAGCTGGTTAAAATTGATTAAAAACAATAAATGTGCAAAATATATATATTAAATATATTTTTGTTTATGGAAGGAGAGAGAAAAAAGATGAGAGAAGAGACTACGAAAAGAGAGAGACTAAAGTATAATTATTGGCCAGCATGTGATAATTAATATTTAAACATATAATCAATGAGAGTAAAAATAAACAAGTGAATTAAATTTTCGGACATATATAAAATATAATTTATGAAAATAACTAGTTCTATCTCAAAAATTATAACTTTTATATATAAGATGGGAGAGAATGTTAAAAATCATGAAAAAGGTTCGGGGGAAAAAATCATGAAAAAATGCTTAGTTCTTTTGTCATATGTTTATGCATCTGGCTTTATATCTAGTAATTAAGAGAGAGCTTTTAAATCGAAAGTGTCTGAAATCTCCACGGTATATATATGTGCGTAAATGATGTTCGAGATGCCACTTTAACTGAAAGCTTCTGCTTTGCAGTAAAATACTAAAAAACCCCACGCATGTTTTTAAAGCTGATCATGGAACACGCCACCTGGAGCTTTCTTTGCTAACAGGACAAAAGGCTCCTCCAAGTGTCAATTCAGTCTAATGTTTGAATTTGCTCAAGAGAAGACAAAACAAAACTTAACGCCCAGGCCAGAACTTTCCGCTGTGGCTGAGCGAGACCAGATCCTGCATATGAAACAGCTCAGCTAGTTATTATTATCAAATACTCCTCCGTGCTAAATATAAGACTTTTATCCTAAATATAAGACCCTACAGGAGAAGTATTAAAAAAAACAAAAGAAACAGAGAAAAGGGCGATGTTCTGGAGAAGTGAAGACCAATGATAGCCTCTTTATCTCATTATCATATGCACTGACTTCTGCAAGCTCGTCTTTCTCGACCAATTTTGATGCTTGTTCCATCGCAATCTGAAGTTCCTCCATATATTGCTCCGAAATCATTAAGAAAACCACTCTGTTTTTCATTTTGTATATTAGATGCTCCAGTTCATTCCTGACTGCCACCTTTCTCCTATGGATCTCAATCCGCTGCTTTGCATTTTTCAGCATCCCGGACCATGTTTTCTACTTCTTCAGCAGAAAAAGACCCTATCCTGTCCGGCATACTCAACCCCTCAGCACCCCCTGTTTTAGTTTCTTCAACGGATATATGTAATGTACCACTCTCATTGAGAGTAAAACAAGCTCTAAAAATGGGGACTCCTCGCGGCTGTGGAGAGATGTCTAGCAGCATGGTACCTAGCCAATAATTATCTTTAACCCTGACTCTCTCCCCCTCATAAATGGAGAGGGCAATCTTTGGCTGATTATCACACACAGTTGTCACGCAAACTGTCTTAGATGTAGGAATGGTAGTGTTCCTGGGAATCACTACTAACATAATGGCTCCTTGAACCTCCAAGCCTACACGGACAGTGAAGCCACATCGCTAAAAATAATGGCCTGTAGATTTTCTTTCGGTCGGTCACAGTCTATGTTTTCCGTTGAAGAACTCCTGTAACAGCTGTTGAACTTTCGGAATTCTTGACGAGCCACCCCAACAAGGACTATTTCATCAACCTTGTTCTTGTCCATGTTGGCATCCATAAGACACCTCTCTGTAATCTCTATAGACCTTTTAAAGAGGTCTTTGTTCAGTTCTTCAAACTTAGCACGGTTGATTGTTGAAGAGAACTCTATGACCTCAAAGAGTGCATCAACCTCCACGCTGGTATTAAAAACTGATGGAGATGAGACCGCTCTTTTGGCCCTCTCACAGGCAGTTCTTAACCTCTTCATAGCCTTTGGACTCTGAGTGATGTCCTTTCTATGCTTCTTTAGAAATTTTTCCACAAAGTAATTCACTAATCGGCTGTTAAAGTCTTCACCACCAAGGTGGGTGTCACCATCCACGGCAATTACTCTGAACTCGCCCTTTTCAATTGTAACCAAAGATACATCAAATGTTCCTCCGCCAAGATCAAATACAAATATATTTCCCTCATGACCCTTTTTGTTGTGAGAATAGAGAAAGAGAGAAAATATTGGAGATGAATATTATTTGTGTATTCTAAAATGAGATGAATACATCTACATATACAAGAAAAAAGAATAATAAATCCTAATAATAAATTAAGAGATGAATACAAATCAAATAAATCAAATCATATCAACAAAATCATATCAATAAAATATTAACAAGATATTAACAGAATATCTTAACATCCCCCCTCAAACTCAAGATGGCTCGAGAGAAAGCAGCTTGAGTTTGTTCACTAAACACTGGAAGCGACCAGGATTAAAAGATTTGGTAAACAAATCAGCCGATTGGTGCTTCGTGCAAATGGGAACAACTGGAAGCGACCAGGATTAAAAGATTTGGTAAACAAATCAGCCGGTTGGTGCTTCGTGCGAATGGGAACAAGTTTGATGGTGCCTCAAATAATATGTTGCCGAGTGAAATGACAATCAATCTCAATATGTTTTGTGCGCTCATAGAACACATCATTGTGAGCAATCTTAATAGCTGCTTAACTATCACAATATATATTGGTAGAGGATGTTTACGAAGCTCCCAAATCATCAAGCAGCCAACGGAGCCAAAGAACCTCAGCAATAGTATCTGCTAATGCACGGTATTCTGACTTAGCACTAGATCAAGAGGCTAGAGTTTGTTTCTTACTTCTCCAAGAGATAAGAGAGTCCCCAAGAAATATACAAAACCTAGTAGTAGACTGACGATTGGCATGGTCACCTCCCTAATCAGCATAAGAGTAGGCTCGTAAAATGAGAGAAGACCTAGCAGACAAATGAAGGCCATGATATAAGGTTCACTTAACATATTGAAGAATCCGGAGAATGGCTGCGTAATGAGTGGTTCGAGGCTCAGACATGAATTGACTAACAATGTGAACTACATAGGCAATGTCTGGACGAGTCATAGTAAGATAGATGAGTCCTCCAACCAATTGCTGGTAACGTGTTGGGTTCTCTAACACAGTCCCATCAGTAGGAACAAAATGGGCATTAGGCTCAATGGGAGTGTTTTCAACAGCTTCATCAGTGAGCAAGGCCCTAGATATCAAATCAGAGGCATACTTGACCTATGAAAGAGAGATACCACTCTCCCCATAATGTACCTCAAGACCAAGAAAATAATTCAGTCTTCCAAGATCTTTCATCTCAAATTGTCCTCCTAAGTAAGTTTTAAGCTCATGAACTCTTACAAGATCATTACCTGTGATAATCATATCATCGACATATAAGAGAAGCAGAACAATACCTCAGTTACTACTGTGAACAAATAAGGCAGAGTCATGAGGGCTAAAAGTGAAGCCAAGATGGCTTATTGTACTACTGAACTTAGCAAACCAAGCTCGAGGGGCTTGCTTAAGTCCATAAAGGGCTCGATGTAAATGACAAACTTTATCTCATGGATAAGAATACCCAGGAGGGGGTTTCATATAAACTTCTTCCTCCAAATCACCATTCAAGAAGGCATTCTTGACATCCATTTGATGGAGAGTCTGGTGCTTAACAGCAGCAATAGCCAGAAGGCTGCGAACAGAAGAAATCTGAGCAACAGGAGCAAAAGTCTTCTCATAGTCGATACCATACTCCTAAGTGAATCCCTGGGCCACTAAACACACCTTTTGCTGCTTGAGAGAGCCATCTGAGTGAGTCTTATTCTTATATACCCATCTACACCCAACTAGAGTCTTACCAGGAGGAAGATCAACAAGATCCCAAGTATGCATTTTTCTCTAATGCCTGCAATTCTTCATTCATAGCTTGTTGCCAAAGAGGATCACGAGAAGCTTCTTTATAGGATTGGGGTTCCTGAAACTGGAGGATGGTGGAAAGATAGTGGTAATCATTAAGGTAGGAAGGGGACTGTCTTACACGTGTGGGTCGGATATTGTCAAACGATATGGGCTCCATAGACATGAGCTGTGCAGGAGGATCAGAGATAGTAGGCTCCTCTAGAGTGGGTATTGCATCGGGCATGTGAATGAGCTCAGTTGGTGAGTTTGGATCTGAGTTACTAAGAAAAAGATCAATAGAAGTATCTAAATTATTAGGAAAAAAAATCAACAGAAGTATCTGTAAAAATAGAAAGTGAAGGAGGAGAAAGGGAGAAAAGGTCAGTCAAAGATGAAAATTTTATATGTTCCCAAAAAACAACATGACGGGAAACTCGATTGCGATGAGAGATAGGGTCCCAACAGTGATAACCCTTATATTCTAGATCATAACCAAGGAAGCAACAAATACAAGCACGAGTTTGTAGCTTGGTGGTCTCATGAGATGGAAGAAGAACAAAACAGATGCAAGTAAAGACTTTTAGAAGACTATAGTTAGGAGGTGTACCATGAAGATGCTCAAAAGGAGAGATGTTACCAATAACTGGTGTAGGAACTATATTAATACAGTAAACAACAATCAATACTACTTCACGCCAGAAATGTTCAGGACAGGAAGAGGAAATAAGCAAGGCTTTGACAGAATTAAGGATATGGCGGTGTTTACATTCAGCCCTACCATTTTGCTAAGAGGTATAAGGACAAGGGTACTGAGAGATGGTTCCCTGATCATCAAGAAATTTAAGCAGTTTAGAATCCTGGTATTCTAAAGCATTATCACTGTGAAAGACTTTAATAATTTTTGATTTTTGAGAACTGAGTTTGAATCATCGTAGCAAATTTAATATAAATATCAGGTAATTCGAATCGGTTTTTCATAAGATATATCCAAGTATAGCGCGAATGATCATCAACAAAATCACGAAGTATTGAGATCCTCCCATAGAAGGAGTAGGCGCAGGACCCCAAATGTCTGAATGAACCAAATCAAAAATGGAATCATCAATAGAGTCATTTTTATTAAAGGATAAAGCAGGTTGTTTGGTAGTTTGAAATGAAATACAATGTAAAGACTCATTCTCGACTCGACCTAAGAAACCACTAGAAATTAAAGGACAAAATTCATTTACGAAAGGATGAGCAAGATGATGATGCCATAAATCGAGGGACGAGAATGTAGCAGCAGCATACAATTTGGGAGAAGCGACTTTAGGGAGATACAGTGAGTCGAGCTCAAACATACGGCCAACCTTACGCCCATTCCCAATGACCTGTCCTGTCTGAGAATCCATCACAACACAACCACTTTTGGTAAATAAGATATTATAACCCATATCAACAAGTTGTCCAACAGAAAGAAGATTAAAGCTAATAGCAGGTACGAAGTAAGTCTCATGAATGGATAAGGAGGGCAAAGAAATAGTACCAATATGATTAACAGGCATTTGAGAGTTGTTAGCAGTATGTATGGGATGAGCAGTAGTATTTTTGGACATAGAAGGAAAAAAAACTTTCCTGACCAGTCATATGGTTGCAACAAGTAGAGTCAAAGAACCATAAAGCACCTAAAGCGGTGGCCAAGGCAGCAGGTGGACTGGAAGTATCAGGGATAAATTTGTGAAGTAAAGCCTCAAGTGTAGTGGAAGATTCTAAGATAGAATTAGCAATAGTGGTAGATAATGCGAGCTTGGAATAGGAACTAGGCCTTGTTGATCTTCCCTGATTAGACCTGGGAGGACGAGTAGGGCATCGATCAATAAGATACCCAATCTTTTTACAGTAGCGACAGAACATAGTAGGACAATTTGCAGCTATATGTCCCCTCTTTTGACAAGTTCGACACTCAATATAGGGGCATTGATCAAAGGAGTGATCAAATTGAGGGCAACGATGACAAGATTTAGAGGATCTTTTGGAGGCAACAAAAACCATTTTAGGAGTACGCTGTAAAAGTCCCAATCAAGTTTCTTTGGAGCGAAGCTGAGGGAGAGCATCCTCAAGAGTCGGGAGTGGACTTTGTGAAGTAAGGATGCTCGAACAAGCTCAAAATCATCTGTGAGAGACATCAAGAATTAAATAAGATGAAGCTAATTGTGGTATCGAAAGAAAGCCTGTGCATCTTCCCCATTCTTGAAACTAGGTTCCGAGTAGGCTAATTGATCCTAGATAGACTCAATCTTTGCCAAAAACTCATATAGGGGCTGACCCTTTTCTTGCTTCAAGACACCGAGATCTTTATACAATTGAAATTGATTGGACAAATTAGATGATGTATAGCGATTAGCAAGGTGGTCCCATACCTCTTTTGTGGTCTCAAAACGGCCAAATAGTTGATTTATGCTAACAATTGAGGTATTTCAAAACATTGTGATAATTTGATTATTTTTGCTATCCCACTCATCAAGTCGGTCATTGAATTTCAAATTAGTCTCATCAGCTTCGCAAATAGGAAAACAAATATCACTAGTAACATAACGCCATAGTTTACACCCTTTAAAAAACTATGCATACTCTCCAACCATAGGCGGTAGTTGGAGCC